AGTGAAGAAAGACAGAGAGGGAGGGAGAGAGACGCGAAGAGGAGGGGAGTGTGTATGTGTGTGTGGGTGTGTGTGTGCCGGTGGGAGGAGGGACGAGAGGGGCAAGGAGACACAGGAGGAGGCAGGGGCCCGGTGATGGCAGGACAGAGTGTGGGCTTTCCGGCCGCCAAGCGGCACGCCAGCGCCGGGGGGGCACCCGAAAAGGCATTTGCCTGCCCAGCGGCTGGCAGGTGGTGATGACCGAGGATGTTGGGGGGGGGGGGGGGGGCTTAGATCGCCGTGCATACGCGCTCGCGGCAGGAGCTAGCCTGAGCGCTTGGCCCCCTGTGGGGCAATAGCGCGCGGCGGGCTCGGGACCAGGAAACAACAGCATACTGGGGTCGGCCCCAGACCGCTCCTGAGGAGGGTCCCCCTCCCTGACCGGGGTGCGGGAGGGGGGGGGGGGTCGTGCGCGCCTGAGCATGGCGATCCGCGCCGCCCAGTGATTCGCGCTCGTCGGTGCCCCTCTCTCGGCCTCCAGCGGTCGCCGGGAAGGACCCGACACACCCGCAGCACCGGCCGCATCGGGAAGAGATGGCGTGCGCGCGCACGCCAATGCGTCCACGGTCCCAATCAGCATGGCTCCCCCGGCGGCCGCGCGAGCCTACACTCGCACCGGCCGGCGCCCGCCCGTGGGAAGACGCCCCGGCCGCCAGCGGGGTTGGGTCCAGGGCTGGGCGGTCGCGTATGGGCCCCGGGGCCCTGCCTGTCACTCGGGGAGATCGCGCGCGCGCGCGCGCGCACGAGTGCCAGTCACACCGGATCGCGAGCTTCTCCGGCTATTTTCCCCGGGCCCAGCCAGACGTGCCATCCGCCAGGCCGGCGTACGTCGTCCCGCCCCGCATCCACCCACAGGGACATGATGCCACTCCAGATCTTGGGTCCCGCGTGTGCGTCCCTCCCCCCCCCCCCCCCCGGGTGCGACGCCGCTCCCGTGCCCCGCCTGGACATGACCGCGGCCCGCACCCGCGGCCCCGCCGCCCGGGTCGGCCGGACCAGCACCCGAGCACATTCCCGGGGATGCTGGGGTGCCCCAGGCACTGCTGGGTCTTTTTTTCGCTTCGCACCACCCGGTCTCCCCTCACCCCCTCTCCGCCGTCCGGGCGGGGAGGGGGGGGGGGCGAGGCCCGGAACAGCAGCAGGGGATGCGGGATTTCCCGGTGGCACGGCTCTTCCTCGCCGATGACCCCCCCCCCCCCCGGGCAATCAGATGTTTGCAGGGACCGCGATCTCAGGGCTATCCATGCTGGCAAAACACCACCTCGGCCTCGGCCCGGCGCGCCGGTTATTCGGCGGCCTGGAGAGCAAGCCGCGCCCTTCGGCGCGCCCGCGCGCGCGAACTCCACACAACACATACCGGGCATGACCTCGCACTGCGATCGAGGCCCCTTGCGTCGGCCCCTCGCGTCGGCCCCTTGCGTCGGTCGGCTGTTCGCCCTGGCCGACGGTCGGCCGTGAGTTCGCGCCTGAGCCCCCCAATCGAAGGCGAGTACCCACGGCTACGGCCGATCGTCCGGCCGCCTGACCGCGCCCACGGCATCTGGCGGGGTCTGACTGGCTGCCTGCTTCTCGGCACGCCCCATTCTGCCCCCCCCCCCCCCACACACACACACCCCACCGATCCCTGGGCGCGGGACTGGTATCCCCCATTCCGGCCCGGCACATCCGGCCATAGTTCCTGATCTTCCGGCTGACAAATTAACGAAACGCCTGTGGCCGCTGTCAGGAAAGGCAATGTGGCGGTCCTCCGGCGCCGGGGGCCGCCTTGCCGCGCCTCGCCCACGCTCCTGACTCGCCCCGGCACGCTGGGGGTAGCCCCAGCTCGCGCACGCTTGCCCTGGGACGCGCGGCCCCACCGTCCCAGGGCCTGCGGCCCGGACGCCGGCAGGAGCCGACACTCGAGGCCCATCACCAACCAACCCCCCGGCCCCATGGGCCCAGGAGCACGGTCGTTGGCCGACCGACCCGGCCCGAACAATCGACAGGGCGCCATGTCTCGCCCAACGCCTCGCCGCCCCCGCCCCCCTTCCTGAAGCCTGGCGGTGGGGTTCCTCGACTGGCCGATGGCCCCCGCTCCGGTTTCCGCCCGCGCGCACGCCCAAGAGTTTGAGGGGCCGCCCAGGCGCGAGCGCCATTCCACCCTTTCAGGTCCAGGCACATGGCCAATCGCACCCGGGCGCCTGCTCTCGTCTACTCGAGCCCCCCCCCCCTCTCCCGCCCCGTCCATCAAGCCTTGTCGTGCTGGCCGTCGCACGGATGCCGGCACCCCCGGGCGCGACATGGCAGGCATGTCGGCGCCCCCGGCCGTTCTCTGTCGGACCCAGCACCCACCCACACCTGCCGGGCGCGTGCGGGAGGGGGAGGACGGCGAGGGCGCCCGAGCCCTGCCATCCGTGTCGCCAAGAACCCTGCCGAGATCCCGGAAGCATGCTGCCTCGCTTGGCTGTCCCGCCCGGCCGGCCTCCGATCCCAATCGGCCTTTCCAGAAGACCCGCGCGCCCGGCGTTCTTCGGTCCTGTGTCCTCTGTGCTTCGTCCCCGCGAACAGGGCGACTACAAGCCGCGCAGCCCCTGCACCACGGCAAGGGGGCCTTTGACCCCTGGCGCGGACGTCCTCACCGGGGCATCGGACGGCATTCCTGCGGAGAAGGGCCATCCCTCCAGTGGTGCTGGCATGAGAGCCCGCCAGTGTCTGTACGCGCGCGCGCGCGCGCGTGTGTGTGTGTGTTCGTGTGTGCCTTGGCCTCTCTTCCGGCCCCGGCCACGGCGCTTGAGCGCAGAACGACCCCGAATGGAGCCCGCTCGCCGGAGCAACTACCCCCGAAGCCATCGGCCTCGACCGACCATGCCGCCCTTCGCCAGGTTGAACCGCCGTCGAGTGGCCCCTGCCCCGCCCGATGGCGCCAGCCAAGGCCTTCAAGAGGCCGCGAGAGATAGAGAGAGAGGGGGGGGGGCGGGAGAGGAGGGGGGGCGCCGAGGCACTACACCGGGCGTATCGAGTATGATGGCCCGCATGCGGCCCTGCGTCGCCCTCCCCCCCCCCCCCCCGACCGTGATCGGGCCGGGCCCTCCTTCCGGGGTGTCGTTCCCCCCCTTCCCCCCCTCCCCCCCGGCCGACATGTCCGGCCCCGATGGCCGGAAATAAAGACCCTCTCGCCACCACGGCCAGGCAGCCAGGCATCTGTGCGCGACCTCCTGGCTGACAGCAACGTACCTGCGCCTGTGCTCGCGGCCACACCACAGCGGGCACCTGCCCGGCCGGCTGGCGCGGCCTTTCCCTTCTCAAGCCCGCCGGGCCCAGCCCACCAACCAAGGGGGACCAGAGGGGCGAGGGGCGCAGCAAGGGGCCGCCTCGCGCCCCTGGCCGCCCAGGCCCCAGATGGGGTTGCTCTGAGATGTCGGCCCCTTGGGGCCTTCCCGCCCCCGGCCTCCCCCCGTCCCCTCTCCCCACCCTCTCCCCCTCGGCCCGAGGACCGCCCCCTGTCTCTGGCGGGAGTTCATTCCCGCCCTCACTGGCACAGCGGGATGCCGGGCCTTTCCCGTCCCGTCCCGTCCCGATGAAGGAGGCCCCTGTCGCAGCGGCCTCCCCGCCCCCGCTTGCCAGCAAATTGAGGTCCCCTATCTCGGCGGAGATTACGCGCTGGGGTCCGCCACGACCGGCTCCCCCCGGCGACACATGTACACACACACACACACATGCACAAATGCGCACAGGAAGAGACACGCACATATGGGTCCATTTAAGTCCCCACACATGCGGGGGACAAATATGCCCCAGGCACACTGCTCTGCTGGTGCATGGTCATATATGCGCGCGCGCACGCGTGCGTGTGTGTGTGTGTGTGTGTGGACGCGAGGACGCGCGGCTGCGGCGTGTGCACATGAACGTACAAATTCCCCCACCTCCTCTTCATTCGGCCCCCCCTCTCCCCCGCAGCCCATCCTACCCACCCCGGTCTGGGTTGACAAGCAGCCGCGTCCACCCACCCGAGACCATTCCCCCGGGCCCGGGGACCACCGCCGGGCCTCCCGACACTGCCTCCCCTTCGCGGTATTCATTATAGCAGGCGAATGAGCAAACACGGTGGGTGTCGTGGTCGAGGCTGTCGTCGTGGCCGCTGCCGTCGCCGTCGCCGTCGCCGCTGCCGCTGCCGCCGCCTCCCCATGTTTGGGCCGGCCATCAGGCAGCCCCACCCGGCTGTCGGTTCGGCTGGGCAAGAAAAAAAAACGGGTCGCCACGTCGGGGCACGGCGCGAAGTGTTGTGGGCTTTTTCCCCCATCCGGCGGCCCCGTTGCACAGGCATTTACAAGGCCCGGAAAACCCGGGGCCCGCCCAGCCTTGAAACGGGAAAAAAAAAACACACACACACCAAATACTCCGGGCAGGGGCCGCGCCCCGGGTGTGTGTGTCGGTCTCCGGCCAGGTACGAAGGCCCAGTCTGGCAGCGCAAACACCCCGACGAAAGCCCCGGCTCTGCCGCGGGCCGGGGGGTGGGGCGCTGCCATGGGCGCTCTGGGGCGCCCCTGTGTGGACGCACGTCCCCCCGTCCATGCACAGGTCGCCTGAGGTGGGCCGGCATTCGCCACAGCCCCGTGTCCGTGTGTGTAAAAAAAAGTAAAATGCCCAGCCAGGTGTACCCCCGGCCGGGCCGGCGCACCCCCATGACCACGTCGTATGCCGCCCGGGAAGGCGCCCTCCCCCCCCCCCCCGTGTGCGCGCGCCCGCCCGCCCGGGGCCGCCCCGGCTGGCGGCGCTTGAAACATTGTCCCAGGGAGCACGGCCCGGGGGATTGCGTCGCCAGGCCCGATGGCCAGGCCGCCAGCGCACCGGCCCCTCGAGTGAGTTGGCACTTGCGCCGGGTGCGGGGGATCCACACCGCCCGAGGGTGTTCTTGTGCCCCAGATGTGGCAACACCGAGGCGCGGCTTAACCCAAAGCAGCAAACGGCCGGCCCCGCCGAAAATGCGCCGTCCCACGGTTCCCCCAGCGGAAAAGCGGAAAAAGAGAGGGCGGGAAAAAGGCAGGGGGGGGAGAGAGGGATACATGCTTGCATGTGTAGAGGAGAAAGTGTATTGGTGCGTATCATGCGTGGGAGCGGGCACGATTTATGAGAAAGGAGAGGGGAGAAGGTCGAGAGAGGGGGGGAGAGAGAGAGAGAGAGAGAGAGAGAGAGAGACAAGGACACGGCAGGTGTGGACAGGGGACAGGGGGAGGAAAGGAGGAGCAGGAAGAGCATGTGCGCCAGACAGGAAAGCACAGTCGTGCGAGTGCCGAGGAGCCATCCCGTGTAAGGAGAGAAAGAGGGGGGAGGGGGAGGAAGGGCAGGCCGGAGAAGAGGCCCCATATACACATGGGTGGCGGGCGCACGCGTGAGCCTCGCACACACCGATGTGCACGACGCCCCGGCTCGCTCCTCGGCAAGCCGACTTGCCTCCCGGCGCGCTCGGCGCCGGCGCGGTGCCACAGGGCGGGCTTCATTCCTCATGCTTCCTCCGGTGTCTTCCGGGGGGGGAGGGGGGGGAAAGCCAAGGACGGGCAGGCGCGGGGGGGAGGGGGAAAAAAGTCACTCACATGGCATCCCGTGTGCCCCGCCACACGCCGCTGCCCCCCCACACCCCCCCCCCCCCCCCCTTCACACTGCCAGCACACCGGGGACCGAGGCTCTCACTCGGTGGCGCCATACATGCGCAGCCGGTGCGCATGAAGATCACTCTGGTGGTCATCGGCCGTGCCGGACATCTGCTGCACCGAGCCGCCGGCCGAAGAGGACCCGGCATCCACATCATTGATGACCGGAGCAGCCATGAAGCCATCGACGGTCGCCGCCGTGGCCGACCCGCCGGAATGCTGGTGGTGCTTGGCCGGCTTCCAAAGGTGCGCATCCTCATCATCATAATCCGCATGGCCCGGGCCGCCATCGGACGACCAGCGGTAACCGCCGCCAGCCCCCCCGGCAGCGGCGTCGGTCATGGACGAGCCGGTCGGGTCGATGCGCGCACCGCCCGGGCCCACGCCGCTGGCCACAATGGTGGCGGCTGTCATGCCGCCGGCCACCGGGGCCGGGCCCACCAGGCAGAAGAGCGCCGGCAGGAAGATCTGCCCATGCAGGAACCCCAGGGCCACGATGGCCACATACATGCGGAAGTAGTAGACCACGAAAATTTGGCTCTGAGCAAAACCAAGAATGGCCACACCCAGGAGCTTGGTCACGGTGATGCCGCTGAACACCGAGGCGCCCACCTCATTCAGGGCATACTGAGCGCGAGACACCCGGCAGTGGGCAATCGAAGCCGGGGTGGTGGTATACGCACGGACCGTGTGCGCGGTGAACTCCACCGCAATGCCCAGGGCCATGACCAGGTTCACCAGCGACACGGCATTCAGGGTGATCCCCCAAATGGCCATGACACCGGCCAGATTGGCCACGATCATCAGCACCGGCAGCAGGACAAACACCGCGGCCAGGAACTGGCCCAGGATCAGCCACGACACCAGGAACACCGCGGCCGACGCGGCACCCAGCACCACAAAGGCCACCGGCACAATGGTCAAATACTGCTCGAAGTAGATGTGCCAAATGGAGTACGGGTAGGCGGTCAGCTGGCCGGGGTACTCCTCGGCCACGCGGTCGGCCACGCGCAATGCCTGCCGATACGCATGGATGTAATCCGCCTGCGTGACCAGCACCGTGTGGTAAGTACGGAAGTGCGAGGCCTCCACCGAGGTCACCTCCGGCAGGGGGACAATGGCATCGCCATAGGCCGCGGCACCGGCACGCGGGCAATCCACCCCGGGGATGGCCTGCATGTAGAGGTCCAAATAATGCAGGAAGTCCTTGCCCTCCGGGCCGAGGTCCAGGTTGTTGAACTGCTCCATGTTGTAGCAGGTCCGGCACCGGACACTCAGCGGGTCCTCGTCGGCCTGGCAGAAGATCGACGGATCCGACCGCTGGACTCGGCAACAGCGCTTGTTGATGGGGTTCAGCCAGGACAGGTAGTCATCGATCCAGGAAGCCGGATTCAGGGTGATGAAGGACTCCTCCGACCGGGTGGTCTCCTCCACCAGGATGTTGGCCACCGAGTAGACATCGCACCCGTGGAAGCCGCCACACAGCTGGGCCTTGCCCTCGGTGGTGGTGGCATTGCCGCCCTGCACCACGAAGTACACCGGCGCGCCGACCATCAGCAAGTTGGCCTGGTCATGGAAGTAGGGAATCAAGTACGAATCGTCCGGCAGGGCGATGGTCTGGTCCAGGCCCAGCTCCACGTGCGGGATGAGCGACACCCCGGCCACCAGCAGGGCCCCAAAGGCCAGGACAATCGAGATGCGCAGCCAGCGGATGGCCAGCAGCGGGGAAACCCGCTGCTCCACGAAGCGCTGCAGCATCCCCGGCGGATCGACCACCGGCGCGGCCAGGCGCTCATACTGGTCCGGGGAGGAAGCCGAAGAAGAGGCACCGATGGGGCCGCCGTCGTGGGCAATCGACATGCCGGCCTCCTCGGCCGAGGTCATGCCATTGGTGGCGCCCTCCTGCTCCTCCTCGTGGCCCAGGTAGTCCGGGCCGCCGCCGGCGGTGCCGGCGGTCAGGGACTTGTTGTCGACCAGGCCCTCCGGCCCGGCCAGCGTCTCGGGCGACAGCTGGATGCATGGCAGGCAGTCCACCCGCCGGGCCTCCCGGCGCCGGGCATCCGCCGACAGCAGCGCCATGAACACCGTGATCTGCAGCAGATACCCGATGAAGACCGACACCGCGGAGTACAGGGCAAAGGAGTTGACCGCCGGCATGGTGACAATGACACCCAGCAGGAAGGCCACCGACTCCGACAAGGCCGACAGGGTGATGGACGGCCCGACCGAGGCCAGGGTGGCCGCCACGCGCAGGGACACCGGCCGCGACCGGTCCAACCGGTTGAAGGCATTCACCAGGATGAAGACATTGTCCACACCGACCGCCAGCACCAGGAAGGGGATGACCTCGGCGATGATCAGCGACGTCTTGTAGCCGATGGCACTGAAAATGCCGACAGCCGCCAGGAAGGATGACAGGCAGATGACCACACCGGCCACACCGAGCGTGAACTTGGTGTCCACCACGAAGCGCCGCATGGTGGAGAAGCTGCCGAGCGACAGCGACACATACAGGAACATGACCAAGTACGACACGGCAATCGTGGTGATGTCAGAGGTGGACCCGCGAGCGAGCTCGACCTCGACACCGGACTGGGTGGTGGCAAGTATGCGCGTGCAGGGGGCGGGGGGG